CAGCTTCTCCTTATAAGAAGCCGGCAAGCGTTGACATATTGTAGTCCGCCGTCTGATTGAGAGCCCTTGCCGCTTCATAAAGCGGTGCAGCCATCCGTGGCTTGCACGGAACTCGTGAGGTAGGCCTAGCTCCCTCGAAAGTCGCCGCGCTTCCACTTGGGCCATCTCGGTCGATACGGCGTGACCCCTGCTTCTCACAACTTCGATGAACTTTACTAGCTCCGCCTACAGCTCAGGGTAAGCACCGGTCTTGGGGCCACGAAATGACCTACGGTCGCGGTGCGCGGCTTGTAGGCTCTCTTTCTTCTTTCTCCACAGTCGCACGCAGGACTCGTCCACATCGTGCCGTCTTCCCACTTAGCGATTTCCAAATTCCTCGGCGACGGCGATTATCTTAAGCTTTTGCTGTGCCGTGAAGGCCTGCCACCGTACGCTACTCATGGTGACAGAACAGATCGACTTAGGCTTGGCGAACGGGTCGAGATGTGGAGAACTAGCGGTATCAGCTAGGTAAAGAGCGCTCACACTCGGTGACAACTTGACAGCACTACCCCTTCTAATAAACTGTAACAGCACCCTGGAAACAACAGAACCGAAATGCATGCCTGCTACTGCATCAAAAAGCAGTACATTAATTTACTGATAGTATCTCAATAGGCACTATAACATCTCATTTGCCTTGCTGAAATAAATACTGCTTTATTTATTATGGAACTTACTTTATTTATTATGGAACTTTCTTAGACAGCACCACCTTTTCTGCAAGCCCTTTCCAAAAGTAAACATGGTGTCCGTGACGTAGGGAAATGTGGAGGGTCACCGAGCGGACGCGAACGTCCAAAAAATATACTTCTGGTGTGACAGTGAGATTTTACACTGAACAATCGAATTGACTCTCCCCAAATGTTTTTATAAACGCTTTAACGATGCAAGCAAGCGAAACCAAAATCAGCCGCAAACTGCCGTGCAACTTGCGGAGCAACACGAATTTGCGGAAACCGCTTCCGTAGCCTTCGCTACACTGTTAAAGGGCTTCACAGCACAACACGCATTCTTGTGAAGCAGCACTATAGGAAAAACCCCGCGTATTATCCGCACCTCCACTTTGCCACTGAAATTTTTGGGTTTTTGGTGCAGGTTATACGCGCGAAAATACGGTACCAGTGATATAAGCCAATAAAAGTGATAGTTATTCGTCCCTCAGTTGCGTTTTAGCTCGCGAATCGCTATTAAAGGGTCAATAGCTACTGATTGACACAAAAATCTTGACAAGAGTAAATTTGATGTCAGTGCTCCTTTAAGAAATAATTCTTGCACTGCGGTCCGATCTTTTGTGAAGGCAGTGCCAGAATAGCAGTTTTTGCACCACTCCAAAACAACAGGATTAGCATATTAAGCTAGAGTTAGAGGTGCATTGGTCTAATAGAAATTATTTCGTGGTTTACTTTGATACTCCCAAAGATTTGAATTCGGGTATTTTGGACATTTTTTTCAGTCCCGTGAAATCTCAATTGGTGTGGTTTTACTGCACACCTTTTCATGCGCACATTCTTGAGGAATGAAAACCTGGCAAAATAGTTACAACATGCGTTCCAACTATAGCTGACGACCGATTTCCCAGACCCTCAAGGCACCGCAAAAAAGTCTGGAAATTCAGGCAGTCCGGAAAAACAAATACCGTATTTACTCAATTCTACCGCGCCCTCGATTGTAACGCGCACTCGGTTTTCATGACAAAAAAAAGTAAGATATCGATTGCGACGCGCACCCATTTTTCTCGTTGGCCCGAACGACCACACTACTCGGGAAAACGACTCCTTTCAGGAGCGTCTTCCGTTTAAATATGAGGTACGGGGGAAGCTTGTGCCTATCTGACGTGCAACGAAGCATTGCCGTCACTCTTGTTTTACCATGATCGATGTCAGCATGCGAACTTGCTTCGCCCCCTTCTTCTCGATGGTTGTGGTGCCAGGCATGTCAAAGTAAAGAGGCGTCTGATCGGCATTCCCGATTTGCCCAAGCAGGTAGCCGTTGTTGTGCCGCAAGTTTAGGACGAACCTCTGAAAACTGTGAAGCTTTTCTTCGTACTCCTCCGGCAAGTTTTGACGCATGCCCGTTCGCTTTCAGAGGGAAAAGCCTTTCCTCTTCATAAAGTTAGTTAGTCAGCACCTGCTCGCTTTGAACTGGCTACGCGTTAGCCCTTTTTCTAAAGCTAACTGCATAGCCCGCACTTAGAGCAGTTCTGTCGTCAGGGGCCGCTGTGCCGCTCGCTGCTCAAGCACATACTCGGCGAGCAGCTCTTCAATTTGCGGAAACCGACACTGCTGTGGTCCACTGAAGCCTTTGCATGAATGACTCTTTGACAATCTTCTGCTTTTGTTTCCACCAGTCTTACACGCACGTTTCGGGAACTCCGAATGACCGCGATGCGGCCCGATTTCCGTCTGTTTCGGCACATGCGATGACTTTTCTTTTAAAAGCGGCAACGTGATGCACTCATCGAGTTTCTGGAGTCGGCCCTTCCATGCTGTCGATGCTAATGAACTACAAGATGACGAACTCCTCAGCACACGTACGAAGTGCCGCACATAGGAAACACATAGGCAGAAATGGCCGACGCGCCATGCCGAAGCACGTAGGGGGCAGCCATTTTGGAAATGCCGATGGCAATAGAATGACCGTATTCATTTTTTTTTTTGCACTCGATTTTAACGCGCATGTGATTTATGAACTCGCTTAACCGGAAAAAAGGTGCGCATTAGATTCGAGTAATTACGGTAGATGCGGAAATGCACCTTTTTTTAAAGGTATTTTTTGCTGACAGAGAAGGGAACGGCATGAGCACAAGATCCCAGTCCAGCAAATGCATCATTTAGATGGCTCTGAAAAGAGCAGTTTGTTAAAAAAAAGAAAAAAGAAATCCGATGTGGCCGGCGCTACCTCACTGTTTCACACTTTGGCAAAAAAAAAAAAAAGTCGGCGATTTTCTTCTGCATGACATTACGCTTCTTTGCTACCACGTCTACCTCCGTTTCGGTCAACGTCATGCTGCCGCTGTACACTGATGAGAGTGTCATCAGAGATGCGTTAACTCCGAGCTGGTTGGCTGTATAGGTGCTGCCTCTTCGACCTCAGAATCAGAGTCGTCGGAATCCTCCGTAACTTGACAAATAATTTTGTTATCCGTCCATTCTGCAAACAGCTTGAGGTCTTTCTCAGTGTTTGCGAAGCCCTCAAAGGTCATCCCGGATGGAATTAGAACGTTGCCAGCGGTCAGATTGTTGAAGGCAACAGCCGCAGACGGAAGTTCGTCAGACAAGCTGTGTTCTGCGGGCGAGACAGCCGTCTAGGCGTCGAATGTGAAGCCCGCATGGCGAAAACAGTTCGGAGGCGTCTCTTGTGTAACCGCCTTCCACGAGTCTGCAAGCATATCGACGGCAGACCCAAGGTCAACAGCACAGCTTTTCTCGCTGCCGGAGCACAGCAACATGCGGCTGAGCACACAAGATTTATAAAGATGCTTCAAGTTGCGAATCACGGGTTGGTTCATCCTCGGCTGCAGTATTGCTATAGTGTTTGGCAGCATAAGTTAAATCTATAAAGTCTTTAACTCCTTGGTGTGCCCATGTGCAGCGCAGTTATCCACATACAGCAGCCCTTTTTCAAGTTGCTGCTGGAACCTTCTGTCCAGCTTGCGCACGTACGCTTCGAATAGCTGCTGCGTCACCCACGCCTTGTTAGCTTCGCTGAGAACAAGCTGAGTCACTGCCGCCTTGAAACATCTTGGATGCTTCGACTTGCGTATTACTAACTAGTAACGGAAGCTTCTTGCTACCTGGCATGTTGCTGCAAACGAGGACAGTGAGCCGCTCTTTGCTATGCTTGCCACCGTGGCAGGGTTCAGCAGCAAATGCAAGCACTTTCAGTGGTAGCAGCTTCTAAAACAGTCCGGTTTCGTCGCGGTTGAAAATGTCATCTGGTAGAAACTGCTTAAGCAAGGAATGCAGCCTTCCATTGTGATATTCGACTACGGAATCATTGACGGCGCCGCTTTCCCCACACATCATCATGAATTGAAGACATTGCTGCTCTTGAAATTGCGAAGCCAATAATCACTGAACTTGAAATCCTTCACGTTGAGCCGAAGCACAAAAACCTCCACCTTCTGCTTCAGGATGTCACCTGACACCAGGATCTTCTTGGCGACCATGGCATTGAGCCACACGAGGAGCGTTTCCTCGAGCTTCGGCTAAACACCCTGACTCGCATTCTTCTTTGCGGCCCCGCTTGACGTGGCAACCAGTTCCAAGATCTTCGCCTTGTTCTTCATGAAGTCCGAAACAGTTCGCTCCTGCCTGCGACCAACTTCTTTGGACTTGTTTGATGATGGCGGCTTTCTTTTACATTGTAAGCCTACGAGGTGGATTTGGGCGCATATGAAAACGAAGGGTGCCATTGCTGTTAACGGCGAATTGGCTTGACGAAAAGGCAGTGCCAAACCGCTAAATACTTGGTGAATGCAGACGCTCGGCAAACGTGAACACTGAACAACACGCTGCAGCACACAACCTACCACAGTAATGACCGAACAACACGTGAACGAACACAGTGAGGTTTGTGGTTTGACTGGGCTACCGCTGGCAACGGATTGGCGTGCGCTAGATTGCGACATTTACGGTTTTGAGAGTACGGCAGCTGCCGTGCGGTGGGCGCAGTGCTGCGGGGCCCACTGAGCCACACCTGCAATGCCAGAGTTGTGTTCGAGGCCAGAACAACCAAAAATAAAACAACCAATAATGGAGGCGTTGGTGGCGACTTTGAGTCCACGCCTAGTGGATAATCAGATGGCAAAGGCTATAAGCGTCCAGAATTTCGGGCTTTTTAATACATTGACTCTATGCGAAACTTGACACTGTGGGAATCAGTCCAGGAAATCAGGCATATCCGGAATTTCGACTGCATATCGGAGCAATAACACAAGCTACTGCCAAGCAACTCACCAGCACCATCCGAGGCTGCAGTCCTGGCTTCGTCATCGCTGCCTACTTCGTCGGTGATGGTGTAGGCCACTTGGTTTGTCTCATCCTCATCTTCTGTATTCTCGCTGGCAGATTTCGTGTTCTTTCCAGCTCCTTCTTTGCGTTTGGCATCCTGTAAAGAGAGGGCTTGGTCTTACACAACGCTGCAATACTTGTCTATGGCAATTACAGGGGTGAAACAGGGTACATGGGTTTGGGAGCAGTCCTGGGAACTGGCAAAAGGACTTTTTGTAGCAGTCTTGCAGCAGCAAGAACTTTGGAGCAGCCAGAAGGGCCTTTTCTAGTAAAGGCTAGTGCACACCAGTGACTAGCAGCGATCGCGCGAATATTCGCGACTGGCAACCAAAAAGCAACTGATGTTCGCACCACCAGAGGCTGCATGCGAACGACCAGAAGTCGCAAAACTGGAGAGTCACGTCCGGATCTCGTTATCAGCAAGAACTCTGGAGACCGGCGCCGATCAGCTAATCGCCGCCAGCTGAGTGAGTGAAGCAAACCGAGCGCGCCGTATTGTTCTCGTCCGTTCTCGCACAGCGTTCCCAACAGCATCAAGAAGTTTGATTCAAGCAAAGAACAAGAGATTGTCATGGTGCTGGTGCACTGTGCCATAATGTCAGCGCTGGGAGCACAGATGACTCCAACGAAAAAATGGTGGTGGTGGGCGTGACTGTCGCTTCGATCGCGGGAGTTGCCCGGCCATGCAAGCTGCCTACATCTCGAGCTGCGCTGAGACGACGAGGAGTATTACCGAGAGTCGTACGTATTCAGAAATGCTCTTGAATTTATCTTGACTTGTGTCACACCTGTCCCGTTTATTAGGGAGGCGATCGCCGGGCTAATTCCAAGAGCCGAAGTATCGGCCCCCCGAACCGCACCACGAAAGCGTGGACAATTTAGAAGTGGTCCTTTTTGGTGCGCCAGCGGACGCCGGCTGTGGCCCAAAGAACAAGTCAGAGCCGAGAGTTGATAAACAAACAAATTATATTCTCAATAATGGCAGATCGAAAATAATACACAAAAATGCACACTCCACAATAGTTACATACAATACGTCACCAATCAAACAACGTACTACACGGTACAATCAGCCACACTCAAAACAACGGACACAGACAACAATACGCACTACAATGCAGTCGCATGCATTGAACAACCAAGACCCTTAAGGACTAAAGCGATAGAAAACCTATTCAGTCCAAAGTCCTTGGAACAAAGTCGAGATGATACTCTTCCGAGAATCACTCACTCAAAGTCCAGCGTTGTTGTCGTTCCGCAGCCCTCGAAGTTTCTCTTCCAGGAAACTTCCCGTCTTCAATTGGCCACTCTTCAAACTTCAACTTCTTCGCCCGAACACGTCGGCTTCACACACGCAGCTGTTGCCCGCGTCTTCGCTCGATAGCGGTAAATCCACGCTCTTGCCTGTAGCTCGAGCCGTCCCTACGGACCAAAACTTCGCCGACTACACGGCGGACTCTCTACGCACTCTGGCGCTCACTTCCGTCTCCTCCTGTTCTGTCACTACGGGCAGAACCTTCGCCGACTACACGGCGGAATTCCTACGCGCTCCGGCGCTAACTTTCCGTCTTCTCCTGATTTCTCGTCTCGGCTGCTCGGTTAAATACCTTGCGCGCGACTTTCCAGATGTTTCTCGTCATTTCGTCGGCGCGATACGCAGCGAAGGCTGGGGAGAGGCACGAGACGGTTCGACTGCCCTCTCCGGAGGATGATTCACTCGGTCTGACCCCGCCTCCTTCGTTCTAGAAAAATCGCGGCCTTGCTGGGCCGCCAATGTGGGGTGAGGAGGATCGTCTGCGAAGCCGTGCTTCTGCGGGGAGAGCGCGCGCCCGGGGGCCCTGGATGTTTGCTTTCTTTTTTTTTTTCTTTTTACCTCGCGGCGTTTCTGCCGCCTGTTGTCGCAAGGATTTGGCGGCGCGCTCTTGTTTAGCGCTCGTTCTGTGACAACTTGCCACAGCCTATAATGCAGCACAAATGCGTCTCGAACGCGGTGTCTTTAGTCGGTGCCAAGGCATGAAGCACAAACACGTTCCAAATGCACTGCACTGAAGGCGGTGACAAGTCAAGTTCAAGACAAAAAAACGATTTTGAATACGAGGGAAAGATAGTGCACAATCCATTTTCTCTTTACTTTGACGGTGTTTAGCTTTTTGCGAATGCCACCACGTAAATTCGACACTTTGCTCGAGCTGCTGCGCCCCACCATCTCCAAGCCAAGTATTCCGTGGTGGCCATGGTGCCACAGACCCGGAGGAACGCACTCGTTTGTATCTGGTGACAAAAGGCCGTCGCAATAAAAAACAAAACAAAAATTAAGCATCGTTGATTGGTTCCAGCAGCTTTACGACTGCAGTTACGCGACTAAAAAATCAGTCAGGAAGCGACTAGCCAAAGCAGTCGCTTTGCTACCGTTTACGGCCGTTCATGACTGTTTGCAACCAGTCGCAAATTGTCGCGCGACCGCTGCTAGTCGCCAGTGTGCACCAGCCTTAAGTTTAGAACAGCAAGAACATTGAGAGCAGAAGTAGTCGGTTCAAAACACTTGTGAATCAACATTTGTTTCACAACGCAGTTTTCAAACATTCAGCTAAAGCGTGCAATAGTCGCAATATTGTGATAGAAACTATATGGACACTCTCAATGAATCTTTTGCTGTTGCCGTCATGTCTCGTATTAATTCCAAATTGATAACATGCCCCTATGTTCCAAACCCGGGTAAAAGTGCGCGAGCGGGGGCGACGAACACGCCTTAAGCAGACCAAACAATCCGGCCCATCTCTGTCGCTCAGATGGCGCATGCGATAGTAGCCCCCCGCCTGAGAGGCTTGTCGGCGAAGCGGAGAGGAGGCGCTCTGCTTGTCTTGAAAGAAAATGAAAGAGAAAAGCGAGAAGTGGGGGGGGAGGGGGGGGAGTTGATCAAACAACAACAATGCACTTTGCTTCTAAAAGCATGGTCGTGATCAGTGGCATGCAGACTAACTCTGCAGCTATCAGCGAGCAGCTTGCGTACACTTCAATGTGCTGCCCTTGACGGTGTTTTGGACAGTTACGTGACATCGGATCCAAAGAAGTTATCTGCCAGCCTTACTTCGTATACAATTACAATTTGCTGCTCTCACCTTTTTTGATTCACCCTTGCAGTGCAACTGCGACTTTTTATTACGTAGAGCCACCTTTCTTTTTTTAACCTGAAGGTGCTAGCAACAACCACCCAGTCAATAAGCGGGAAGCACAGTGACCAAATGAACGAGTATGCACATGTGCCTGATTAGTAGTCATGTGCACCTGTTTTTGCCAGGTTGTTCCGGTAACCGGACACCACTTCCGCTTCTTTTAACCACCGTGACTGCCATCCTCTTTTTTTCCTTTTCCGAATAGTGTCATCAAGTTATAAAAGAACAGCTTCAGGGGAAAGGCGAAGCAGTTAATGCAAAAACAACAAATTGTCAGGCTAGCAGCCAACTCTTGTAGATCTGAAATGGCGTAACTCTACAAAACGATGCAATACAGCCGCACCAAGAAAAGAGACTCTTCCCGCAATCTTTTCGCGTTAAAAGCGCAGCACATGGACGGGTTCACGAGCCATTCGCACTGATGCCTGCTGTGATGGTGTGCACATAGCGATCGCGACCGGGCTCTCAGAATCAACATTCACGGCTGCTACTGTAGCAACCTTTACGAAACCAAAACCATTTCAATTAAAGTAAAAAGACGACGGTTCAGCCATGTTTCCGGGCATGACGCTTGATGGCTATCGTACCTTGCCGCTAAATTTTGGCGTTGCGGCGCAGTACGACGCTGATAAGAGAGTTGGCACAGCAAGGGTGGTTCGGCGCAGGATGGCACAGGTAAACAAATTGGCGAACAAAGGTGCAAATAACGCAGCTGTTCCATCCCTACAATTACTGTTATAAAAGTACTACTGTTATAACGCTAACTGTGATGTAACTGGCATAAAAAAGAAGGTAAAAGAGTCAAAAACAGGTGGTAAACAATTCTTAGGCCATTTCACTCTGTAAAGGTGGATGACTAGTGAAGCCATCTTGTGCAGCACACAGGCAATTTTTTATGAAAGGCAAATAACTTTTTTTTCCTCTAAAGCCTTTCACCTCAATTTGCACAAACCAGAAATGCTGCGAGCAGGTAATTTACTTATTGCTTGCTAATTTATTTCATGCTGGTTGAATAAAATAGCACTTCATGAAATGACATCCAGAATGTGGTCCAACTTTGGAGCAATTTTTGGAGCAGGAAAAAGGCTTTTTTTGTAACAATTCAGGAGCCCCCCCCCCCCCCCCCACCCCATAAGCATTTTGTAGCAGTTCTGTAGCATGAAATATTGCATTTTGGATCAGTTGGAGCAGGAGAAAATCAAAATGCATTACATTTGGTGCAGCTTATCACTACAGCACAATTGTTCGGTACTTTACAGCAAATAGACAGAAGTAAGGCTGACGAGCACTGCCACTTAGCTCATGTACCCACAACAGGAAACCATGTTATGTTGTAAACTTCTTTATTTGCCTATGTAAATAATGCTTTTACACTACTGAGAACAGTTTTATGCAATAAAACATAATACAAAAATGACTGGAAGTAAGGAAAACAATGCGCTGCCGGCAATAAAAAATGAGTAGATATACAAGGCTGCATCAAGAATGAATAAATTTACTATTCCGACGTGCCTACATGCACTATCTGAGCTTGCCTTGCTTACAATGTAAAATGAACTTTAAAACCATAAATTATGTTTTTTGTAATCAACCCATACATATTTTAGGACCTTGGCGTGCGTGTCAGAGTTAATCGAATCTATGAGTTAACGGGATCCAGATAAACAAGCTTTTACTATATTTCTCCTTACAACAATTTTAGTACTTGGGGTTCCTGTCCAAGTTGACCGAATTTCCAAGTTAACGAGATCCGGATACACGAGGTTTTACTGCGTTTCTCCTTACAACAATTTTAGGACCTTGGGGCTGTTCACTGGCCCTTTAAAGACGGCTGCTACACCCTTCTACATTGTACTCTCAACATGAAGTGACTGCACGAAAGTGCTTTGCTTTCTGCAGTAGCCATATAGGGGTCAAGGTGTCT